AAAAAGTATACATAACAAATTTTATAATTTTTTATAAATTTTTATTAAGTAAATTGATATTTTTCTATTAATAAAAATGTTTGTTTTGTCATTTTAAACAAAGTTTATTAGAATATCTTTATTGCAAATTTACTATAAAATAGAAGATCATAAATAATATTATCAAAAAAAAACAAGTGATCCCAAAGTTATACTCAAGTATAACTATTACTAGATACCTTATTATCTGAACTATTAATCAAAGATCAATATGTAGATCTTGTCAATCACTATATAAATTGATCATTCAAAGAAATCATAAATCTATTCACAATTTTTTCTTTTTCTTTCTTTTTTAATTTCAACACTAATTAGTTATCCTTGATATATTAGATCCTATAGTGAATAGTAACAAGCTGATTGGTAAAAAGGATAAATCCATTTTAAAATAGTTGTATTTGTATATTAAAAAAATATAAAAATTGTAAATACATAATCATATATACACAATAAATCTTTTTCACAAATAAAACAATATTACCATTGTACTATTGATTCATGGATCTCCAAATAAATTTTAAAAATTAAATTATTATATATATTTATAATAATTTAAAAATTTTTTAAATTAATAAAAATAAAAAAAAATTTTTTTTATTTAAAAAATATTTTAAAATTATAAAATATTGTTATTATATTTCTAAAATAATATAATGCATATAAGTTAAAGTAAGTATTAAATATATAAACAAACAAACAACTTTATTAATATTTATAATTAAATTAATCTTTTAATAAATCTCATTCACACATATCAAACTTTAATAAAAAATTTTACAATAAAAAATACAAAGGCAGTATATACGCGAGAGGTATAAAATAGGGCTATAAAATGTACTGTATATAAAGGAAGCAAAATGCATTGATTCTCTCTGAATAACAAAAGAATAGCGTATAAACATCACAACATCAGAACCCAAACATTCACTTCAAACCGTCCACCCAAGAGAATCAAATTTATGTTTTACAATTCGCGCCATTCGAAATGCACCTTTTTTCATTCTCCTTACACCATAATCAATGACATCTCTCGTGTAGTTGGCAAGATTTTTCGTTATTTCTAAAGCATAATAAAGCCATAATCTCACTTCGTCCAAGACATATTCAGAAACCTCAGGCACATATTTACCCATGAAGGCATATACTGCAAGTAATTCATTCCCGACATATACAGCTGTTCTGTGTAACCCATCCTTTATAAGTTCATAGGAATTATTGATTTTTCGGCTTATATCAAGCATGGCGACATTAAGAGTATTGTAGAAATCGCCTTTCTGTTCGGTTATTGAAGTGTCCTTGGGTTTTTCATTGTCTTTCTTCCTAGGAGACCAAGGCACTACTTTGATCAGTTGCTCATTTCTTTTAATCTCGATCTTTACATCTCCTTGAGCTCCGGTAGTGTCAATATCAAACGAATACCTTCCATCACCCAATTCAATCACTGAGTAACGTCCCAACACTTGACGCGGATAGTGGGTAACGAAGACCTCGAAATTTTCATTTTGTGCATTAACGACTTGTTTCTTATTCAATATCTCGAAAGTAAATCTACTGGAAGTTTCTTGAATTACTTCAATAAGAGGCCCCATTTCACCGTTGTCCAAGGGAATGGTTTGTGGTCCATTGTGGTTTTGGGTTTTTAGTGAAGCTCGTGATACAGTGTGAAGAGATTGAGCTAAATCGGATGGAACAACTGACCATTCAGCATAATGCCAGATAAAAGATAGGGATAAATAAACAACATAAAGAACAATGCACATAATGGTTATATCTTTAAGTACGCCGCATTTCTGTGACCTCCTTTTCTCTCGTTCACGACGCAGCCGCTCTTTTCTAAACTCGATAGCACGCAAACGCAAGAGTTGTAAATCTTCGTAGACAGTTTCGGTGTCAAGTGCGGTAAAGTCTTCAACTGTCAATACTTTTTTAGTATAAACGGTTTCAACCCAGCGAGGATTGGTTTCACCATTCCTGCCATCTTCAATCATCTCGTCAGCTTTCCATATAAAAATTTCAATACCATTATCTTCTAGACACTTTAAGATCGCACGACGCTTTTCCTCACGTTCATCTTTGAAATAATTTTCTTTTTCATTCAAAGCGATTATCGGAAACAATGTAACCTTGTCCTGTAACTTTTTCATTGTAGATAGAAAGTCTGATGAGATATTAGCCACATCAGGAGGAATAAAAACGACACATAAGTCAATCAAATTGGCATCAAGTTCCGTTTTTTTGAATTGATTTTGCAAATGCTCAAACACTCTACTGTAGGGTCCATTTGTGAGATCTGCTTCACAGAGCGTAACACCCGAATCGTGACGATATCCAAAGTTTAATTTGCCATCATCGTCATTTGGGTAGATGATCAACATTTTTTCTATGCCAATTTCATTCGCTGTAATTGCTTCCTCCGCCTCATCGCAAAATATTTGCGATAAACTTTCGCCTATTTTTAAGAATACACCACGCTTACTCCACTCGGAAACGTTTTCACCAACATACATGACACGAAAAGTGACGGGAATATTAAACTGATGACGTTTGAAATTTCTAAATTTGGTGAGCAATTTCCGCGAATTTTCACTAGCGTCTGATGAATCCGAGGACAGGTACATATCAGATTCTCCTTCATTTTGAGTTGAGGGTAAAACAGGAAAAACTGGATTAATATAAAAATCATATCGATGAGATAAAAAGACAAGCGACGATTAAAAACTTAAAATAATTAAGTTTATAGTTTACCGAGCGAGTCTTCGCTAGCTGGATTTTTATTAGTAGCTTTTTTTATCTTTGTCTCAGCATTAGTTTCATTGGGGGAATCAATAAGTTCAAAAGTATTTTCAAGATCTTGAGATTTTGAGGTAGAGCTTGAAAGATTTGATTCTCGTGAGGAACTTTGAACTTGAGAAGAATTATCTCGTGAACTCGATGCTGGCAAGATCTCAAAATCTTCCATTAAGGCACGTCTTATTAAAAAGCTAAAAAATATTGGAAGCTAAAAAATGAATACGTAACTCTGGAAGTGTGTATGATAATGCGCTGCTACTTATTGTAATTTCTGTCTAAAAGCCACGCCACAGCAATCAAATTTTACCTTTTATATTTTCTATTATAGGCTACTTTATTAAACTTTTATTTATACTGCATATAGTAAGAGTTATTAATTTACGTATACATATTTTTCTAGATGTTTTGAAATATTGAAGTTAAATCTTATTTAATTTAATTTAATTTTTTTTTTTTTGCAATATCCATAGCTAGGTTAGATCATAGTTTATTAATCAATTGATTTTTTTTTTTTAAAACCCTCTGTCAGGTTAGGTATGTGTACTTTATTAAACATATATATAATTTACATTAGTAAATGTATCACTAAAGTTAAGTCTCTACCTAACTCACTAGTCTCTATTTTAAAGAATTATTAAAACTCTAAGTGCAACTTTGGAAGTGATTCATAACTCTGTTAGCAGTTCAGGTAAAAACCCTTCCAACTATTAACTTCATTGCTTGTAGGTAATGATGGGTCCCTAA